TGGTAAACTCACGGCCCTCATCGGTGTTTTACGCGGTCGACTCAGTTCTGTAATTGTACACGAGACGCGACACCGGATGTAAAAAAGTTAAACAAACTCTCAGTCTGAAATGCATGCAAAATCGGCGCTGTAGTGTTATAATCAAAATAAATCAAATATAAATATTTGTCAATGAATTTCATATTTGTTTTTGCCTGTGGGAAAATACGGGAACGAAAAACGAAACGAGGCTGACATTGTTTTCCCTGCCCATGTGATGTGACCCCGTAACAACCACGTGCTTCTACGAGGCCCTTGGTAGGCACAGTTCGCTTGTGACAAGGGGTGTGTTAGTTGGCCTATCCACGACGGAAGACCTGAACTTTGGAACTTGTACGTAGAGGGTTAATGATTTCATACTGAATATTAGGCGACTAGGGCGCGAATATGTGACCTGGATTTACGCGACTCAGCCTACGATATCCACTTGCAAAGTTTTCGAAATCCTTCGATGAACAGCAGGCTAATTGTCCATAAAGTTTGTGAGGCCCCTTAGGGCTTAATATTACCTAAAAATCATGTTTGTCTGACCGTAGGATGGAGGCAAATGAAAACGTGACACCTACCAACTCGCCAACAAACACGCTTAAGAAGATACCACCCGTCCGACAGCGCAAACAGTCTCCACTTAGGTTGCCTGACATCAAGATCTTCTGTGACAGCTACCAGCTACTCTTCAGTCAGATGGTTTGTCCAAACTGTGAAGCGATGATGACATCTCCCATCCGCTTGTGCAGCTCCGGACACTCCTTCTGTGCCGAGTGCCTGCCTTGGATATCGCTGTGCACAATCTGTTTCGCACCTCTGACTGACACGCCGAACAAGAACCTGGAGGATCTACTATCGCTGACTTCGTTCTGTTGCCCAGGACGGCTGAACGGGTGCGATGCCAAAATGCAACTCAGTTCGATAATAGACCACTACAAATATTGTGACTTCAGTGAGATTCAGTGTCCCATCAGTCGCATCAAGGAAAAGAAATGTGTGTGGTATGGCCTGAAGAAACACTTTCCTTTACACGTGAGGAGGCACGTTAATTGGCAAATTCAAATCCCAAAACACAAAATCTTCTCGGACTATTTCACTGTAACTTGGAATTCGAAGCCAAAATGCGCCTTCATTTGTGTTAAAGACGAGATATTCTTGTATTCCAGATTTGTAATCGAAGACAAGTGGTTCTGCATGTTGCAGCAAACCGGGATGACCAGGGGAAAGTATGAATGCGTGTTTCTTCTGGAAGGTGTCAACGGCTTGGATCGTATACGCATGAGACACGCTATACGAAGTACAGATGAAAGTCTGATGAACGAGTTTTCTTTTGGGCGATACTTAAGAATGTCGACAAAAATGATACAGCATTTCATCGATGACGATTACATGAATTTTACGATTATTATCAATGACGTAACTAAACGCTCATATCCTTAGAATAACAGTTATTTTAAACAAAGTAGCAATTTAATATTTTACCAATGACCAAAGACGAAGTGTAAACTTTAAAGTTTAAACTGATATTTATTCCTCCATGAATAATTTTTCTCCTTTTAGCACGAATGTGATAACGAATTTGCTGTAAATTACTAATTCGTATGTAGATTTTAGGACCATATTTATTGTAAATTTTATATTAAGAAAAAATTACTAAACTTTGATATGTTCTGTGATATAGGGCGAATTTTCACACCATGATGTCGATCAAAAATTCAGTACAAAATGTTGATTTCTAAGCCAGATAATTCACGCTTAGCACTGAATATTTTTATGTACGGTATCCTGTTACCCCACAGATATATTGTAAGTCGCATTTAAAGATTTAACTGTAAAGATAAAATTTGCTTATCACAGAAATGTTTTAATTCTGTATTTTACTGCACCAAAATAAATGTAAGTAACGTGAATGAGATTGAAATGTGAATCCTCTCATCACAGTAATGTGCCTATTGAAACACTCAGTCCGTACCTCAAAGAAAACACGACGTGTCACCATTGCAAACATTAAGTGGTTCACGCTGTTGTAGTAGGGAGTAGCTGCTAATTCTGAGAATCGTACGAAATACATAAATAGTTGTCAGATGAATGCTGTTGAGAGAGCAAAGAGTTAGTTTAAAATAAAATAAATCTCTCTGGTACGTATATTGCTGTAAACCACTTCACGTTCTGGGGTCAGCATTGGGCCGGTTTAACATGAGCACTCTTTTTACTCTCAGGATTCACCAATGGACCAAATACTGAGCCAGTTATATCCTATCCGCATCACAATCTATTTAAGATATTTTAATATTATCTACTTACGTATGCCTACCAGAATATTCATAAGATCCCGCCACTGGACCCTACCCTAGTCAGTTACATCCAATCCACACGCATAATGTATTTCTTTATGATCAATTTTAATATTATCTCTCTATATACGTCTAGTCCATCAATCGATTGTTTCATCTACTTGACACGCCAATTTCTTCGTAATTGTTTTGCCCATTTAACAATCTTTGAACGAAATAATGCGAGTCTAGATGATGCCTGGCTATTAATTTGCTCGACATAAACATTTCTAAATTTCAGAAGTCTGTATTACGAACCGAAAGCTCCATCTTCATGATTGAGTTATCTGGTTTTTTTTTATTATTATGACGGCCATTTTGTTGACGTCACCAGTTAAATCACGTAGGTGACTGTGGCCAGGTGCAAAAGGTAAAAGGGGCCTGAAGGGAGTGGCATTTGTGTGCTCTGAGGCGGAGTCTGTGTGTATCCTGAGGAATTGTGACTGGAAGAAAACGAACGAGGAGCTTCGAAATAGATGGGTTCCGTCTAACATGGCTACGGCGAGTGAAACAAATGAATTTTCATGTTTTTCGAAGTGACGGTATAAAGCACCGACCATTTACGAAATAACATGTTCCAGAGCATGGCAGAGGGGCGTATAATTTAACCTATTTTTTCCCCAGGCTGTCTTCGGGGTTGTAGCGCCGAGTAGTCTGATAGCACTACAACCTAGAAGGCCGCCATCTTTATACTCACTCATCTCATTCCTAATGTTTTGTTCTGTCAGTTGACGTTGTTACCCTACTGAAAACAACGGTGACTCATAGACCAAGGCGAAGGTCACATCAGAATCCAGCTTCACAAAGTCCAGCCCTCTGCTTACAGTACCGAGGTGTGGAGCTTACTTCCTCTCTCCCATACGTCTTCAAAGCTTGGTACTTGAATAAGTACTTGACTATTTTACCGTCATGCACTAGTCCAGGGGTGGCCAACTATTTTTGTCAGAAACATTCAGCACTTGGTGAAAACTTAGAGAGTCACAATTATTCGTGATGACTCAACATAATTTATAGATATTTAAAATTAAATATCAGACTATTATTAGTTTATGAACGTCAGGAAATTAATAAATATTCATACGATATCCTGAACTCTGATGCTCTGACGATAGATAACAGTTAACATGGGGCAGTCTTCTATTGGGGAAAAAAACACATTTCCGTAAACATCTCTATTGACTTTTGTGGACAGTTCTTACTTATTTAACGGCGTATTATATTTCTTATTAGGCAAACATAAATAATGCCTTTTTTTGTACAATGTTAAGTTATTTCTTTGTTCTTATATGCTGCGTTGTAGATAAAATTCTTTGAAACTAGAGACTCTTGACTCATCCATAGCCTGCAGTGTACGTGCACGTCTATACAACGCAGAGAAACAGATATAAATTAACGTTTCTCAGCTTTCGTAGTTAAGCGAAGTTAAGAAATATTTTTAATTTTGAAATGCTGCTTCGTTACACTATTCATTACAATTTTTTTTTTTAAATTACTACGTTAGATTTTGTAGCTAATGTTGACGGGCTATTTTCTAGTGGTCGTTAAAGTACAAGCTTGATTTAAAAGACGTTGCATTATACGTGCGCTGTTACGAGTAAATTCGGAAATATTTCAGTTCGTTTTTGGTTACGTAAGTTAAATCATATCAGGTATTTAAATCCGAGATTGATTTACGTGTGTACAGGAAGGAGTCAGGCCTCTCTGTACACCACAGAACACACCCAGTGCATAACTGTCGTATGTTCTGAGGAGCGGAGTCAAGAAAGAACATTTGGCAGCTAAACTGCGCACTCAGTGTAGTTGTGGACCTACTCCGAGTGCTGTCTGACTGCTGGATATACAAGAATCAGGTAATATTTCTTCTAATGACTCCATCCAAATAGCTTGCGACTAATAGTAAAGACAGACTCACTTTGCGCTGCAAACATAGTATACGTATTTTTTAAACTTCAGGCAGTGAATTCACTACGTCAGTTTAATATATCGAACTCCATTCATGTAGGCAAAGTAATATACCGGACATTATGTTGTGTTTAATATTCTGATATCCCTCTCTCAGCAAGTCTAAATGGCGAGACAAAAGTGAAACAAAGGGAAGGTTATAAATAATAACTTCAGTTTAATTCAATGCGACTTAAAAACATCTTTCGAAGGTGAGATGCAACATAATATTATTTCTGATAGATCGAATTGGTAACGAAAAAGTGAATACCAATTGGTCGTCCTACAAAGATATTCTTCAGTTACATTTACTCCGGAATAACATTTCTGTCTTTCCACTAGAGGAATATGAAAATTTTCTTCTGTATTATAATTGCAAATAAATACATGAAGGAATATGATGAAACCTAAAAAAAAAAATTAGCAGGTTCTTTGGTTATTTAATAAATTACTCAATGTAATAAAAACTTTTTTAAAAAATGTATGTGCACTTTTATTTTTGCGTGTTATAGGCACACAAATACGTTTCCGACAGAAACATTCAAACGACTACGGAAATAAGGAGTTATCAATCCCATTCAACCACTACTACTCAGTTCATAAAACTATTCCTGTTATTTATAGAACTGGTAAAATTGGAAAGATCATTAAATTCAGTGACATAATTTATTGTTAATTATCTGATTGTGTAATACATGTTCATTTATAACCAAGGAAGTGTTCAATGTGTATGGAACACTTTTGTAGCTAATGTTGACGGGCTATTTTCTAGTGGTCGTTAAAGTACAAGCTTGATTTAAAAGACGTTGCATTATACGTGCGCTGTTACGAGTAAATTCGGAAATATTTCAGTTCGTTTTTGGTTACGTAAGTTAAATCATATCAGGTATTTAAATCCGAGATTGATTTACGTGTGTACAGGAAGGAGTCAGGCCTCTCTGTACACCACAGAACACACCCAGTGCATAACTGTCGTATGTTCTGAGGAGCGGAGTCAAGAAAGAACATTTGGCAGCTAAACTGCGCACTCAGTGTAGTTGTGGACCTACTCCGAGTGCTGTCTGACTGCTGGATATACAAGAATCAGGTAATATTTCTTCTAATGACTCCATCCAAATAGCTTGCGACTAATAGTAAAGACAGACTCACTTTGCGCTGCAAACATAGTATACGTATTTTTTAAACTTCAGGCAGTGAATTCACTACGTCAGTTTAATATATCGAACTCCATTCATGTAGGCAAAGTAATATACCGGACATTATGTTGTGTTTAATATTCTGATATCCCTCTCTCAGCAAGTCTAAATGGCGAGACAAAAGTGAAACAAAGGGAAGGTTATAAATAATAACTTCAGTTTAATTCAATGCGACTTAAAAACATCTTTCGAAGGTGAGATGCAACATAATATTATTTCTGATAGATCGAATTGGTAACGAAAAAGTGAATACCAATTGGTCGTCCTACAAAGATATTCTTCAGTTACATTTACTCCGGAATAACATTTCTGTCTTTCCACTAGAGGAATATGAAAATTTTCTTCTGTATTATAATTGCAAATAAATACATGAAGGAATATGATGAAACCTAAAAAAAAAAATTAGCAGGTTCTTTGGTTATTTAATAAATTACTCAATGTAATAAAAACTTTTTTAAAAAATGTATGTGCACTTTTATTTTTGCGTGTTATAGGCACACAAATACGTTTCCGACAGAAACATTCAAACGACTACGGAAATAAGGAGTTATCAATCCCATTCAACCACTACTACTCAGTTCATAAAACTAATCCTGTTATTTATAGAACTGGTAAAATTGGAAAGATCATTAAATTCAGTGACATAATTTATTGTTAATTATCTGATTGTGTAATACATGTTCATTTATAACCAAGGAAGTGTTCAATGTGTATGGAACACGGAAAGCCCTATAAGGGATACAGTGACATTAGTTCATTCTCGTTACCTCGTTATTTGCAAGGTCACAAACCCGTGTTTTTTTTTTCTTTAAAGATTTTAGTGCTTCGCTCATTTGTCTTGCGGAACGCGCAAATGGGTTCTAATACTCATCGAGTTTAAGTTTCGCAGTTCATCAACAGACGCTTAATCCGTGTTGTCTATTATCACAAACTATTGAATAAAGTATTGATTTAAAAGTTAAACTGGTTGCTCAGCTATTCAAAATTCCCCGTCTGTTTTAAACCCCCAAACGTCATTACGTGCTCACAAGACTTGGCCCCATCCAGAGACGCGTAAAAGCAGTTTAGTTTTTTTTTTTTTCCTTCAACGTCAATTTTAATATTATTTTCTCATCTAGGCTTATGTTTTCCATTTTAATCCTCTCACTCCAGGTTTTCAGACTACAATTTCACATGCATCTCTCGTTTCCCACAAGCGCCCTATATTTTATGTGCGCCTGTCGCATGTTGCAGATATTCTGAAACCAGGGTAATCACTGGTGCAGCTGAGAGGAGCTTGTAATGGAGAAATCTAAGGAAGGCGTGGACCAGGGGACTGAGGAGGGCGACACGGCCCAAGCTGCAGGTTCCGACAGTAAAGACGAAATGGTGACTCAGCCACCGGTACAGAAGACGTCACCAACCGCACCGTCCTCAGAAAAAAAATTTCAGCCTTCGTCGGAACGAATGTCACTGACTCGAGCTAAACGAACAGTATTAAAGACCTTCGGTAAAAAGCCTAACATAATTCATCCGGCTCCCTCTTCAGCTACTGCATTCGAGGAAACGGACGCTCCCACTGACTCAGCAACAGAAACTGCAATTGCCAGCGGAAAAGACATTTCCACTGCCACTGCCACTGCCACTGCCACTGCCTCGACTTCCTTGGCATCTCGCACTACCACTTATCCTTCTACTGCCACAGCAAAGGACCCTTCAATCGTCAAAACAATCACTGATATTTCTACTGCCACAGCAAAGAAGGATCTTATCATTACCACAGCAGCTACTGACATTCCTACTGCCAGCACAGAGACCGATCCTTTAATTGCCACAACTACTGACATTCATACCGCCAGGACAATTGCCTCGACTTCCGAAGATGCTCGTGCTACTGCTGGCATTGAAACTTTCATTGCACCAGACCCTACCGATCACCCCAGTGCCACAACGGCCACGGGGCCTTCCACTGGAACAGCCGCTGGGTTTTCAAACGCCTCAACTCAGACTACCACTACAGTTATCAAGAAAAATGACACGTCCACAGACGACGACTCCTCCACCTCCGAGGACACTGACTCCTCCACCTCCGTGGACACTGACACTTCCTCTTCCACTGACACTTCTACGGACGCCGACACTTTTACATACACTGGTCACGGACGTAAATACAAACACAGTTTATTAAGAAAGTTCATTGAGGCAAGGAAAAAGCCCTCTCAACCTAAGCCAATTCCTGACTCAGAAGATGAACTATTTGAATTGTTGGATTCTGATGACTGACAGAGATCAGTTTGAAATGGACGCGCCTCGTATCATCTTCACGTATTCTTTGATCCCGCGGAACAGGGCTAGGTTACCTGCAAGAAGTTCCCATACTCCCATCCCACCCATTCAGAAATTAGATCACGTTAATTCATTTACCAAAGAAGCTGCAAATTAAGCTGGATAAATTTACGCGATCCATTTTTTTTCGTCGCCTGTGACAAGTCAGCGAATGTGAATGATGGAAACGCACCGAAATTAAGAGTGGCTGATTTCAAAATACTTTACCACACGAAACTTAAAGAAAGAAAGAAAGAAAAAAACATTTTATAAATTAATACAAGAACAGAGCCATTATATATTACAATATACGAGTATAGATTTTAGTATTAAGCTAAGAATTCTGAGTGCTGAAAAACAGGATTTTTAGCTATCCTAACAGACTTCTATTAGTTCTGTAATAATTCTTTAAAACATTAAATATATTTTAGTTTTTATTATTTCAAAGAAAACTGACAGTTGAATACATGTTCATAACAAAATGTAAAGAGTGAAATAACTAGATATAAGTCAAGCAGAATGAATAACAAACTTGTAAGGGTTTATGTTGCTGTGTTACCTGAAACAAATTTTGTCAAATTGGCTTTTATTGTATAAAAAATGTCACAAAATATTCTGTAATAATTTTTAATAAATTGTCTGTTGCAAAGAAACGGCACGTATATCTTGCAGCACCCCTAAATTAGAATTAGATGGTTAATTATTTATCAATTAACCTAATTTTATTCGCTCGCTTGCAAAAACCACATGAATCCGCTGTGAGAACTAAGAAATTGTTGCCATGGCAGTCACCATGGGTATCCCATAAGATTACATCAGTCCAAGCCTTTGCTGCGCAGTGATCAGTTTCCAGGTAAAATGACAGGAGTCCTGGACATGTTTTAGTACTGGGCTTTTATTTAGAGTTTGGCCATAAAGAAGCTAGTGGACCCTTCAGTGACTTAAACAGGTCCCCTATCCCGGCAGCGAATACCACAGGAGTTAAACGTAATGTGGGTACTTGTAAAAATAACACGAATAGACTGTAAGCGTTTGCTTATGGATATTATTATTATTATTATTAAGTGTTCTGTCTTACGACAGGTCCATTGCTCTGCCCAAACAGAGCTCTCCAGTTGTCCCTATTCTCGGCTTCTCGCTTTAATTCCTGGAACGTCATCTTCTTTCCTTGTTTAAGGTCGTCGGTTAGCTGTATCAATCTTCTTCCTAGTCCTCGCTTTCCTTCAACCTGGCCTTCGATGATATCACTCATTAATCCATTCCTTCTCATAATATGTCCCAGCCAGTTAGCTTTCCTTCGTGTAATCGCCTGCAGAATGTTTCTTTGCTCGTTGACTCTCCTCAATACTTCTTCGTTGGTCACTCGATCTTCTCTATTCTTCTCCAACACCACATTTCAGAAGATGTTAATTAACTGTAATTTAATCAGATGTTTGCCAGTTATTCTTAGGGGAAAAAAATATCTTTAAAGTGAGCTTTGTGAACTCAACGTTGCTTAGTAAATCATCGATTCAACTGCGTTCTGCACTAACACTTATTAGCGATGTCAAATTAAATCAAAGCTAAGTGTTTGTAACAGTGGTACTTTTAACATGAAGGACTACGTACTGAAATGAACTCGTTATTTGAATCGTGTACAGCGAAACCTTCATTTCTGATACCCGTTCCAGCCCCAATCCTACCGTTTTTTATAATTACCTGAACCATAAAAACCATTTTGAATGCGGATTTTGTTAAGGAACTGTACCACCTCCGTACCTTATTTATAATAACACTTTCCCTGCTGCTCTCGTTTGCCATTGTCACAATACAATAGAAACACGGTACTAGCAATTACGAATTCGTGAATTATATCATAAAATAAATTAAATTAACATAAAAATTAAAATTAAATTGAATTCCGTAATAAAGAATAAGGATTCAGTATGTGCTAAATGATTTAGACTGAAAGATTATGTAATACTACAGTCTCTGATTGAGTCTTAATACTCAAGGATTATAAAACATCGGAGGTTTTGGTCCAGGATAAACCGATACATTGAAACTTCTTGAACAAAGCCACTGCTCGACTGTGGAATCCGATCGGTCGGGGAGTGGCTCGTCCCAGAACTGCACAGTGCTTCACGACGTAAACGTAGATCGTAAGGCGATTTCAAAGACGCAGAAGGTAAAATGGCCGAAGGCTACCTACATTCAGATAGAATTAACTCGGTCAGTTAAACCTAATTCGATATTAAAGCGTTTCAAATTTTGCGTGCAGTGAAGTAAATGTATTCAGTATATTTTATTTTTTAAGTACGGTTTATCGGTAGACCAGTCGCGTTTGAAATTTAAACGTTCCCCGAGTACTCTTGAGTCTCCATTATACTCGGCCACCCCCAAAAGCGACACTTCTTCTACGTCGTATGTTAGTAAGCAAATTATATCAGTTCCAAAAGTAAAATAGAAGAACGGTTTTAAATATTGAATGAAACGAATAAGAAAATAATTGTAAACTCGTATAAATTCAGCATACGTATAATATAATAGAATGTATTTACATTCCATAGATCCTTCATAGGCCTAAGCCAAGGATATGGTACAGGTCATAGTAGAAATACAATACTTGTTTCCAGTACGAATATAAATACAAAGATATAACAGCTATTTACAGATTTTTGGAACTGCAGGATTACAGTAATTTTCTAGACTACTTTTATTTTGTTATCCAACTCTAATGCATACGTTTAGTCTCTTTAATGTCTTGAGTTAATATCTTACAATATTTACTGTAGTGACTTTTCATTATTTGGTTATTACTAGATCGGCAATTAGGTAAAGATCTCGTTTACGTTCAAAAGATGTTTTGATACCTTTAGTAAATCATTCTTTATTTTCAATTTTTTTTCCCCTCTGTTTTCATGGGGAAACTCGCTTCAAAATTTCTTAAGAAGATATTTAGGAATGTGTTAAATTTTGAATCTTACATCATGTCTGTTTAATACTGACTCCCAGTTTTCATTATTTAGTTGTATTACAAATTTTTTAATAGTGTCATTATTTATAAGTCCGAATCGTTTCCTTTAATTATGATAATAACAGATCGATTCTATACTTTTTATAACTAGAAGTTGAGCGTCATGATCAGAGAGCCCATTGATCACCGATTCAACAGAAATATGATCTCTCCTGGAACTGTCCATAAAAACATTATCAATGGTAATACTGGAGTAATTTTGAATTCTTGTGGGGAAGTTAACTATTGACATGAGATTAAAGGATGTAAGTAGGGAATTCAGACATTGTTTGTGGTAGCTTTCAGTAAGATAATCAACATTAATGTCACCGCAAATGACAAATTCCGCCTTAGGTTTATAAAGGTAATTTATAATGGTTTCTAACTTGCTTAAGAATAGTTCAAAATCACCTGTTGGAGATCTTTTATATAGCTATGACATAAATGTTGGAGAATTTAAATTCCAATTGCACAACACAGCATTCTATGTCTCGTTTCTTGCAGTGATGCATTAAATCTGATTAAATTTTAGATTGAGAAATTACCATTATATAGAATACCCCATAAAAGTGTGAATAATTTAAAAAATATTAGGCAATTATGAGTAGAAAATATTGCATAAAATGTCTGATTCGCAAGCTATGTGGCATTATGTGGAGTATGAAATTAAATAGAAATGAATTTGTTATACACTGCAAATTACACAAAGATACGTAAATAATTATGTGTCTAAAAATGAACGCCACTGCATATAGACACGTGAATCCTGTTACAATCCAAAATAACCGCATCACAATGTTACAGAGAAAAGTTTCGTTGGCATGGAGACGACCGATGGGAATCTTGGCGAAGCAGCTTCGCCTCGCAGACAGGGAGATGAAACCGCAGGACATCTGGATGCTTCGATGGAAATAGATGTAAATATGATGCCCCCACCACCGACGCCGCCTTCTAAATTTAAAAAATTGTCAAGTGAAGAAAGGATGACAGTGACCGAGTTGCTGTCGCTGTGGCCCTCGGTTCGTCCTGGATTACCGGACACGGTCATAAACAGTATTAAGTACCTTGGGATGTACCTAAACCAATTTAGGTGTCCTGTTGAAGTAAAAGAAGACCTACAGACTGACTTGCCCAAAGAACACTCAGCATGGATGCCATTACTAGAGATGTTTTGTACAAAAATGGCTATGTGGGTGAAAGGGAAAAGTAAATTAATAGATACGTGGAATGAACTACAAAAAATCTTACCACAACAACTGGCAGAGATATTTGAACGACTGGCGACAACATTTTATACATTAGGAGCTTTAAATGAACAGCGCCCTGCCACATCACCCAAAGTGACAAAATCACCCAAGACAGCTGAAAAGGCAACGACTTCGACCTCTGTTAAACGAAGTCCCTCACTCGTAGAAATACATTCCACAGAACCAGAAATCGCCTTTCACGAAATAAAGGCACTTATTATTTTAAGTGAAGCTGCAGATGTGATAGCGGGAATCATGAATCTTTCATAACCGACTGTTCAGATGACGACAGCAGATGCTTCGATTCATGTTCCCGGTAAGTGCGTTCTAACGGAGAACTCTCCAATCTCAACGCCTGCGTTTTTGCACTGTTAGAAAATATTCATGATTAAGACGATGGACATTGCGCTCCTATTTATTCTGTTACCTACCATTGTTCGTATTCTTTCCCTCTATGAAATAATAACGGTATTGACAAACGCATATAAATAATCTACAAAACGAAGTGCTTACGAATACAGCATTCTACCTTCTGAAGAAATTAATACTCGAAAATTTGAATAATTATTTTTTGTTTATATAATATTCATACCCAGAATTATTATAATACAGCATCTTCATCTCCCAATAACGAAACTCTTAAAACTATTATAAATTAGCATTCTTAATTAATAACTTCTCAAAATCAATACGATGCAGCACAATGACTTAAGAATAAGGTCGATGTCCTAAACGTCGTGAAAGTGGCGTACGTATATACTAAAAAGTCAGTGCCCAATATGACTATAATTGCAGTATTCTTTTCTCCTGAAAGTAAAATTAATGTTCAAAACTATAATGCAGCGTCTTCGTTCTAAGAGTTAAATTAATGCTCTGTAGAATTTCATGTAACAGTCCTTTAATAACGAGACATGTTTAGCACAATCATAACGTAGCATTCTTTGATCTTAAGACTTAAAATTTGTAATGCTCGTTACATTACAGTCCAATTTTATGACTCACGTAAAATGAAATCAAAGGTTATATTGAAACTTTCCTAACTCTTAGCAACGAAATGTACATAATCATGGAAATGCAATATTTTCTTTAAACCACGAAATAAATGCGCAAAATTAAACTCTAATTTGTATAGCGCATATGATTAAAAAGAAGTGATGTGGTTCGTGAGACGTGACATACTTTCTGAATGAAACGACACTGGATCATATGAAAGTTCGCGAGAAATATGTTGCATTTTAATTTATTATCCATTCAGGTATCATGCAAATAATGTTCTGGGCATGAATATACACTAATTATCAAGTACATGTTAATTTTATTGTAATTTTAATTTCTGTAAAATGTAACGTATGTGGCCTAAATGTACTGCTTATTATGCGTAATACATATTCTTGTAATTGGTCGCTCACGACATTTCAAAATATATGATTTCCACATTCAGAGCAAATCTGTTGATTGATATATGAAGACTTAAATTGCGACACTTTTGGTATAAATGTCCACTTAACATATTTGGTGGTGGCTCGGAAATTGTGTATTTCATGGACATGTCATGTACTCCTTATATATGTATCATGGTAACCGAAGATAATATACGGATATTTCATTAGTGCAGTCAGTGTGTATGAAAATATAAATTTGTAATATGAGTAATATTGTATTTTATATCTGATTGTACAAACGTGTAACAATTTAATATTAATAAAAGTAATAGAAAGAAACAATCTGTTTAAATGCATATTAAGCAGGCTATTAAAACCTCAAAGTGCACTTGCCCTTAGAATAACTACAAATGTGCCATCGAATTTGGAATGTACTAATTTGGGTTAACGTATCTGAGTGGCATTAAGAGGAACGAGTAGAGAAATTGTCTTTAGTTGTCTAATTTGTTTGCAAATTATTAGTATGTTTTGAACATATAGCTACTATTTTCTTCGTTTTTAAAATGAATTATTTCCAAAGAACTATTCACAAATACTTCAAAATATCCTTTCAAATCCAATGTCCGAAACAAAATAGTAAACACTGATTTTAATGACAGGAACCACGTTCGCGGACACAAAGATCAGGTAAAGTCAGGAGTTGAAGTATCCACGTGCCTAAGCACTTATTCATAAATGTAAACAGTTTTATGCTCCAGCAGTTTTACCCTAGGAAACGAAAGCATTGGAAGAAAATGAAATGGCAGTATTTTCTATCTGACAAGTACCGTAACGCAGAACAATTTCCAATTCTTTTATGTAATGAAATAAATACGAAGAGTTTGCTCGCCGTGTTCTCAGTGGGCTCGGTAAATGACAGTATTTTCTGTCTGACAAGTACCGTATCGCAGAACAATTTCCAATTCTTTTATGTTCATAGTTTAGATGCGTCATGTTTGTGTTCAAAATTCAAATATATATTTATTATTCAAGTCTATACACAAACTTTTAAATTGTTGATGTTAAAATTTAAAATCACCATTAATATTCTGTAATTAAAGATAAAAACCTGAAGATGATGCTATGACATTGAAACATGTAGTAATATATAGCGCAATATTGTAACATCGAGATAACGATGAATGGCGCAGAATATTAATATCAATTTTAAATTTTAACATCAACAATTTAAAAGTTTGTGTATAGACTTGAATAATAAATATATATTTGAATCTTTTATGTTCATTACAGCATATACAAATCTACTGTCGAGACAGCTCAATAACAGCGCAGGTTTGCCTCTTAGACGGTTCCTTGCGTTTGAAATAAACATGGAACTCACTGAACTAAGAACAGAACACAATCCCACTGAATACCGTGAGTCATTCCTTGCAAACTACGTGAACTTTTTATAGACCATTAATCAGTAAAGGCTGTTATGAATTCATGTCGACGGAAATAATATGAATCCTCTTTGTGTACATTTAACATAAAACTTCACTGGAATTCTGGCACCGCGTTAGAGTGTGTTATGTTATCGACGTTTCAGACAAGCATACTGACTTCGTCTGTAAGGTCGGCAATACAGACCTCCCCTCTTCCACATGGTGCCAAGATCAATATCTGTGCTGTGGCGGAGGAAGTTAGAATTAAAGATGAAACGAGATAATCGATACCGAACGTCGATCACACTATTTATTATCTCTGACCGATGAAACTATAAGGAGTAAAAAGCAATCTTTCTACTTTCTCTCCCTCTCTGCAGCTGAGACAGTCAGAAGGCTGCAGTCCCACACATCAATTCAAGAACGGTGGAACTCAATCGAGAGCCGACGGTCGAAGTGGGTGCATGTTTTATTACTGTAAATTTAAAATATTTTCGAGGGTAAGTCGAATATAAAGAGTATTTTACGTACGCTATGGAAATTTTCATTTCTATCATTAATTTGACTGTTAATTGTTTTTGCTATGTTTGGAGTCCACTTCTTTATTTTATTTAAACAAAAATAAATTCCTTTACTTTATTATTCAGAAAACTCCTAATAGGACCAGATTTCTTGGTATTCTTAAACATTTTTATAACTTTGAAGTAACAGAGCATTTCATATATATTTTAACTCGTTTGAAATCAACACGAAAAGACTTAACAGTAGTATATACCCTATATGAACAGTACTTAGCCTCATTTATTTCTTAAATGAAATGGAATTTCACGGGTATATCTGTCGAAAGCTAAAACGAATTGTTTTATATATGCTTTAAAGCGACATTTTAAAAATAAAGTAGTACTCAGATTTTACATGTCCGAAAACAAAAAGTCCAGAGGAAGATATTTAAGTCTATGAAGCATGTGTTCTTGATTGTGAAATTACGTGCACATAATTATACTAAGAAATAATAATATCACGGTAAACACGTAGGAGACTGACCAGTCAAGCACAGCACAGAGATATGGGTATTAAGACCAGTCAAAGGGGATTGATATTATCAATTGCTGCATAACGGGTAAAACCGAATAAAGCAAGTATCGGTAAAAAATATTCACGCTCTTGCTTGAGTTGAATATTGTCTTGAGAGCCTAAATTAAGAATGTAACTGGGTCTAATCAGAACAAATACAACAATATTTTAATCTGCATTCATATACACATGATGATTTCAAATCGCTTAAAGATTTTATATGTCTTTCAACAGAAACGGTAGTCAACATGGAGGACGATAAATCAAAGGACAAGGAGAAACGAGATACTTCAGCACCAGATCATTCTGAAGATACGACTCGTGAAGAATTACAGGAAGAACATGAGCAATCTCGCAGCCAATCCGAAGCCATTCCTGGTCCTTCAACACCACCACGCACTACAGAAAGATCACCAGCCCATGATGAATCTGAAAACCAGCCTCAAACTGTTCTTGAGGTTTCAACAGAACCAACTGATATAACAACAGGATTATTCTCCCAGGATGAATTCAGCAGCCTATTTAAAGTCATGCTTGTACCTTCAACATCACCAGAAAACGTAAGATCATCACTGCAGTCCCTGAGAAAATATTCTCCACAACTGGAAGCCATTCTTGGGCCATTAACACCACCAGAAAATACAACAGAAGCATCACCATCCCAGGAACAATCTACCAGTCAATTCGAGGCCATTCCTGAAATTTCAACTGAACCAGACAGTTTAGGAGCATCGTCAACTTCACAAGAAGAATCTGGTAGCCAGCCCAAAGTAATTCCCGGAACATCAAGAAAGCCACACAGTATAGGAACACCATCGGCCTCCCGGGACGAATCTAGGAGCCAAACACCTGCTTTTCATACGCCACTGACACTACCATTCAATATACCAGCGCACTCAGACTTCGAGGGTGTCCCTTTATTCGTGTCTGAAGACATTGCTAGGCCTTTGTCAACGCCACTTTCTTTCGACGACTTCTCTCTCAGCCATGTTGGAGTAACTGGTAGGCCTATGACAGCACCATCAGTCTTCGAGGGTTTTCCTGAAGCCACTGCTAGGCCTTTGTCAACGTCACTTTCTTTCGACGACTTTTCTCGCAGCCATGTTGGAGTAACTGGTAGGCCTATGACAGCACCATCAGTCGTCGAGTATCTCTCTAGCTGCCTAACCGAAATAATTCCTGCACTTTTAGAAGAATCATTAGCCTCCCAGGAAGGACCTCGCGAAGAGCCTGAAACTACTGCCGGACCTTCAACATCACCAGAAAGCATAGCATCATCACCGTTGTCCACGGAAGAATATTGTAAACAACTGGAAGCCATTCTTGGGTCTTCAACACCACCAGACAATACAACAGCATCACCATCCCAGGAACAATCTACCA